TAGGTATTTTAGTGATGCTCAAACAACCCCCTAGGCAATGATGAAAAACTGAGACCCGTTCGTCTCATAGGTTTTAAGCCCGAGATTGAAATATGTATTAAAGATCCACACCACAATTGTAGTAACCCAATTAAGTTGGGTATTTAGAGGGAATCGGCCCATTAGGGCTAGGTGCTCAATACCTAATTAAAAGATGGACTTGGTAGTTAGAGATATACACTATCCCTAACTTTTGGTAACCTACCTTATTCAAATTGATACCCATCTTTGAAGATTTTATTGGAATATCTAGGAAATTCGTTTTTCTACTTGACCTACATATAATTGACCTCTAAACCTATGTAAACACACCAACAACCCTAGAAAATAGTCCCTGTGCTTTGTGCCTTTGAAAACCTTCTTGCTTTGTGCCTTGAAGCTATTTTTCTTTGCCTTTGTGTGCCCTAATACTTAGTGTATATCTTGGACTCCGAAAATCTATTGTTGGTGTTACCTTTGTGGTGTTGGATCGAAGTTTCTGAGCCTAAGAAAAGGAGGAATTATTACTTCTTTGTTCTTGCATCTATTTCTTCACTTTCTTGATTGTTTTGATTGATTCTTGTTTATTAATTGAGTTTATCACTTACTTGTTGATTTGTTCACTTGTAGGAGACATTTGATACTCACAAGAACGTTTGCTTCAAAACATTAAATATTTCAAAGCACACAAAATAGTTATTAAGAATATGCATACCAGACCACCATAAACGTAACCAACTGCAATTCCAGTTGGTATACACATGTAAAATGCTCCCAGCCAAAATGTTTTCTGACAAAAGAGAAGACCACATCAAAATGTAATAAAATTCATGTACGAAAGATAAGATAGAAGATATATGAGCCTCAGAGCAGGAAATGAGCAAATTGTAACATGGAAGAAAAGCACATGATTACTCCAATCTCAATTTCCACAAGTTTAGAGAAATAAAATTAGCACTTGGCACAAGTCAAAGCATAATGTACACTGTGATAGATAACAACTATCTCATTAGTCATCACTACTCCATGCCTGCTATTTCCGTAAAATACTTGCATCATTCCAGATCCCAAAAGTATAATGAGAGAATCCGCTCTTATAATCATACTAAGATGAACATACATGTCAATGTTCAATTGTGACCCTGTGAGTTTCACCAACCTACATGCCTTGAGGAAATTATGCTTTACTATAAAGAAATGTGTATAATTCAAATAATTTCAAACAAGCCTTGCTGAAACAAGTGCATAAAGTTAAAAGACAATATCATGTGAATCGAAGGGTGAATCTTATATGATGTATCATTGCATGAAACAACAAACCTTAGCAGGTGGGGCATTATCATCGATGAATGGAGCTGCAAGACTTATAAAAGAAGCCTCGCCAACACCCACTAGCCTAATAAAACAAGCCAAATAAAAAAAATCACAAAATAATAAAAAATAAAAAAACAAAAATGGCAAACCTTTGAGTAATTAAGAGAATTTTACTCACATGCGAAAAATTGCAATGGACCAAAAGTTTTTTGAAAAACCACAACCAGCAGTAGCAATGGTCCAGACTGACAAACCAACTCCAATAAACCTAAATGGATTGACTCTACAAAATTCAAGTACACGAACTATAATAAGCTAGCTGCAGACAGGTAGAAGAACATTCTGTTAGACACAGTAGCTCTTTCAAAATTGACATCCTATTGATTTTATAAGAACATTGAAAAGATTGAGAAACCAAATCTCACATGACATGCAATGTTTCTGAAAATATATTCATGCTACATTTTGGAGAATTCAAATACTTCCCATAGATGTAGGAAAGAACTCAACAGTGAATGCTTGATAGAACATAATTCATTGACATTTTATTTTACTGCAATGACGCTGTTGTGACATCAATAACATCACAAATAACATTAAAATACACCAAAGAAAATGTAATAGCATAATTTGTTCTTGTATCATTTTGACAGGAAAACTCCATCCAATTCATGCAGCATTGATTCTACTTCTTGACAACCATTTCACATTTTCTTCATACCACACAAATATCATTTTCTGATTTAATACTTTCCTGACACATCACCATCTTCTCATGCAGAGTGTTCAAATTTTATCAAACCTATAATGGGAGTGAGCAAGAATCACACCATAAAGTGACTACCTCTTTGTTAGAGACGCAAACATTGGGGAAGCCACGAGGAGTCCAACCATGAAAGTAGATGATAAAACTCCATCCTTAAAATTATTTAGGTCAAAATCACCCCTGCGTAGAAAGAGGCTTATGAAACGACGCAAAGTATATACGGATTTATTCATTTGGTAGTTAGTCTAAATGTACATTCTTGGAGTAGTAGTATGGGTATTGTTATATGAGCATCAACACATTCTCCCACAGCATTGCAGAACCTCATATGGCAAGGGGTTAAACAACTAAAAAGACATTTTCCAATTAGAAATGAACCATTTACAGTCTATCACTCTTGAGGTGTTATTTGTTTTCTTGTTTTTCTTTCTGTTTTCTCTTGCTCTTTTAATATTGAGAGGATGAATGTAGTTTTCTCTCTGCATTACATGGCGTAGATTTGAATCCTTACCCTATGTTTGGTTGGAGTGAAAAGTGGGAATGAAGTAGAGGTAAAAGAAATGGATTGCATTAAATCCCCTTTTATTTACATCCTACACGATTTTAGAGATTTAGGTTCTTTTGCAATGTGTAAAATAGGCCATATGGAGAGAAAGGATGGTATAAAAATCTTCGGGATGACAATTAAGAATTCGTAAAAAAGAAAAAGAAAAAATTCAGGGTTATGGGTTAGATAAAGCAAGGAGATGCTCCATTAAAAGAAATAGTGACCAAATGTTGACATTGAACTTACTGAATTCCAGTGCCTGGTGAGCATTTAATATTTTTTGTGCAAGTTTTGCGGCTTCCATTAACGCCATTGCTAGCTATTGCTCCACGGTCCAAGTAATTTATTAGGTTAATTACACAAAATATAACAAGCAACCTGCCAGAAAAAGCAAGTTAGAATCAAATTAACAGAAATGTTTAATGGCAAGACAGTAGATTCCATATTAAACAAACAACCGCCACTTCTACAACTCAAAACAATTCCATTTCATCAATGGAATTATATAAGAACCGAATTTCAAGATTCATTAAAAAGCAAATGTATTAATTATTGTCATCCTTCACCATCACCTAATTTCAAAATTTATTAGTAGTCAAAAACCTTAGCCATTGTTGTAACATCCCGAAATTTTTGAATAAAAAATTATTTATTCTATGCATTATATTTTACTATTTTAAAAGTTGAGGGACTAAGTCAAAATATATTTTAAATTCTTTATTTTGGGTCAAATATGTGAACTTTGATAGAGTTGTGATAAGTATATCAATGTTGAGCTCATTATGTAGCTCGTATTAAATAATGCATATTGGACTCAAGAAATAATTATTTTGAATAAGTTATCTCCATGTTATTGAGGTTGAAAGATTTGCCTAAATTTATAATTAATTAGATTATTACTCATTTTAAATCCTTCCATCCCACGTGAGCTAATTGTTGGAGAAAGAGAGATGTATTTCTTAATTTATCATGACTTGATGGAGAGAGAAATAGCCTTCCTTTTAGAGTTGAATGATTTATTAGGTACAATGTAGGGCAATTTTCTTGTCATAGTACAATGGTAGGTTGTTAAAGATGAGGTAATTTTATTTTAAATAGATTTATTTGCTTTGACTTTAGATCCAACCATGTGTGTGTAGAGATGAATGGGTTATATTTTGATAAAGATAAATCTGGAATTGATCAGGTTATTTAAGATGATTGGCTGGTAATTTAGATTAGTTTTGATAGTTGATTAGGATAAATGTTAGTCGTTAATATTAATCCTAAGTAAATAAGTTAATTGTTATATTATTATATATATAAAAAAGGAAAGATAAAAGAATGAAATAGGATTTTGAAATCATATTGGGGTCTAATAATTAGATATTTATAGATCAAGATTTAATATATCAATATTTAGCTTATTGGATAGATCATATTAAATCATGAATTTTAGGCTCAAGAGAAAGTTGATTCGGATAATCTAAGCTTAAGAGATGGAAAGTTGATTCGGATAATCTAAGTTTAAGAGATTGACGTTTAAAGGAATCAATATTTATTAGTATTTTATTGGTAATTACCACCTAGCTATCCACGTGTCCTTTGTAGAGAATTCTTTACTTTGATTTTGAATTGTATGTGTGTAGTAGACACGTGAATGGTAGATAAGGTAAATCATTTTAATATTGAGTAATGCTATTCATCATCATGATGATGCATTATCGGTGATGTGGCATAATACATGAAGTGGTGGGATTGGGTAGTTTAATTAATATGAGAGAGAAAAAGAGGAGATAGAAAAAAAACTATCCAATCCCACCACTTCATATAAGATGTCACATCACCTATGATATATAATCATGACGATGAAAAGCATTATGGGAACTAACATGGTGGTTAGCCATGTGTAGATTTCCATTTTCCTATTAGGATAAAAAACTAATTGTAATGCAATTAAAACTCCAAGTTGTTGTTATCTAATGGAATCATAATAGTAGAAAATTTCAGAATTTATGTTGTGCTGGGCTAGAATAGTAAATCAAATGAAGTCTTTCAGCAGTGCTCAACTTTGGTGATAATCAGTAAAATAATATTTTTGCTGAAATCAAGTAAGGGTTGAGGAATATTTTATTGGAGTCCTCCTTACCCATATTTACACGTGTACATGCATAAACCAACCCTCTATCACGTTATTTGTTTGAGATAGAAACAAAAGTGCAATACAAATCCAATAAATCTTTTTAGTTGATTAAGATAAAGATTAATTGTGCAGTGTCCCACTTTTCCAAAAAGCCTACACTATAAATACCCTATAAATACCCCACTATGTTCAAAAAGGTATTAACCACAAAATATGAAGAGAGAGAGAGAGAGAGAATCAAAGAGAGAAAGAAAATAGAATGCACTGCACGGCAGAAAAACGTAGGAGAGAAAAGAGAGAGAGTAATATTGGAAATAAAGTTTTCATACAACAAATATTTTAATCACATGTTTTTCAATGCCGAGAAAATATTTTGAACGTATATTCAGATTTTTCAAACGAGGTAAGATACATACGTACAAGTTGTTTTCGTTTCTATATACTTTTATATGTAATTAAATATGCATGGATTGGTAGTGGATCTTCGGGTTCTATAAAAAGATAAATGAAATCCTACGGGATTATAGAGGACCTAAGATGAGTGTGTCGCTTGGTCACCGATATACTCTATAAGGGAAGAACGGTATAAAGTGTAGATTTTATTGTTATATATCTGCCTATGAAAATTGCACGTATCTTATTGGATATTTTTAAATACTCAGCCTTACAATTTTTACAGGTTAGATCGGGTCAATTGGAACTATGACGAATTGGTGACGCGGGTTGCCAAGTGGATCAAAGGAAAAGAAAAAAAAATAAGTTTGTCGTTTTTAAATTTACCAATCAGTTTAGTTTTGTTCAAAAATTGTTATTTGAATATGTTAAGAGTTTATGTTTATGTTTAGATACGATTTTCATGTTTTCAAATAAAAACTTTATAAATGTTGTAGTTATTTGTTTATTAAAGAATCTTTATTTTTATAGTTCTGCATTTAAAAGAGGGAAAAGTGAATTTTTCGTAACGTTCCGGTGTTTATAAAAATTTTGGGGCGTTACAATTGTCATCCTTCAATCACCCAACACGTATAACAAATTTTCCCAACAACCTATTACATATATTTCCTTAAGAATATGTGGTGAGTCGTATGAATCAAGAATACACAAGTGATATAAACATTTTCAAACACACATTTCCTCGGAGAAAAGTAAATGCGCAAACCTATTTCCCCAGATACTCTATTTAACAATAAAAACCAACAAATTCCTGGTTACCCAAGTGGTAAAAATACGCCCAAGATTCGAACTTTTTCCATTCCTTACACTAAAGTTCTTGAAATAATCAAGAACCCAATAATATAACCCATATATACTGAAATACATTTATATATATACCAAAAAAGATAACCTTATGGGAGTGAACCAAGAAGGTTTGGGAGCTGATACTGGAGATGGGACTGGATCGACATCCATGCTTTTCACTTTCCCCACAGAACCCGTTCCAGGGGGAGGTCTTGGGGTTAGGTGGCTCGCCACTGGCTGCGGGGGCAGTGGCAGTGGCTGTTCCTCTCCCATTAACACTGGAATTTTGGTTGGAGCAAACTGAATATTTGAATGGGTAATTATATCACTACAAATTTTAATAAGCACACCACAATTTTCTTATTTATTTATATATCCCTAAGTAAAATTACATAATTAGAATTGTAATATACTTTTTAATTAAATAAATTATTGTTACACCACAAATACTAAAACCTTCTTTCCTTCTTTCTTTAATTTTCCTTAACATCTCTCAAGCAATTTTTTTTTTTTAAACAAAACATAATCGTCCATTTCTCAATAATGAAACAGAAAGGAGAAACAACAACTCCTTTCCTCTGATAATTGTGTGGCAGCTTGCTGGTACCTGTTCGACTCGGATGGATTGTATGTGAATTCTGAAGTATCAAGCCCATACTCTTCCCTCATTCATGTGCTCCAAGCATCACTCCTACTTGGAAGATGATCAAGAGTAACAGTAACAGGCACGCCTGTGGCGGTAACTGTTGGCCAATTATTGATCAAAGGTTGCCGGATCAATTGCCTGGGGCCACTAATATACTCATCATCACTATCACAATTTAAGTCTGTAAACAAAGTATTGAAACCAACTTGTTCCATCTTTTCCTAATAGTAAACCCTGCTGAGAATTTGAAAATTAAGGTATAAATAAAAATCTTCTCCAATTCTGATCATTTCACTTTTGCAGATCTTCAAAGGGTGAAAGTTACATGGAGGAACTCACTCGCGCATGGGATTCTTAAGATATCTTGTGTGAGCACTGGGTGCATGCCAATAATTAAGAGGTAAGACAGAACATTTAGGCTAACTGATCCAGCCCCTGAGCACCGCCCTGAAGGAGAGTTTATCAGAGAAATTTCTCTTCCAACACGTATTCCTGAAGATGCCAAATTAGAAGCATATGGTGACTCTACTGGGACTATGCTCGAGATTCTTGTGCCCAAACATCGTGTTGGACCAGAAAAGGATGAGCTTCGTGTGTGCCTTCGCCCATCTCCATGGAGTGAACAGACATACGTTGATTTAACTGAAGCATTGGTTTAAAAGGAAGGAATTGCAAATATTAGGGTACGTTTGATTACATTTATTTTTCATGAAAAATATCAATTTTTCACCCAAATTTTTATTCGGAGTGTTTGATTGCTATTTTTTTCCATGGAAAACATTTTCCAACTATTGAAAATATGCTTAATTTTTCTTGTTTTTAAGGAAAATATTTTCCTTGGATGGAGGTGGTTTTTATTTTCCTCAAAACAAGAAAAAAATTTTCTTTTCTAAGTTATATTTTCTATGTCAATCAAACACACTTTTAGTGATAAGCACACCACAATTTTCATTTTTTTATTGTTTTTATTGAATTAGGAGTATAATTGTAAATTTATTGTGGTGTATATATTAAAAATATATTTTAATTGTAATGTGATTATAATGTGGTGTAATAATTAAATTTTGTAGTGGTAATATAATTACCCTATTTGAATTCACCGCGTCAGGTTCCACTTGTGTTTTACTTTTGTGGACTCTAATGATTTTTCCCTTTATAATGGGGATCTGGCTTGGGATTGTTAAGATTTGTTCAACAGATTGCAACAAATTTTACCAAAGATCTTTGGATGTATATCCTGTAGATTCTTTAATTATCTCCATAAAGAAATAAATTGAGGAATTTTTTTATTTTTTTTTTTAAAGTGTAACGTTTTAAAGTTTAAACCAATGTGTATACAACAGAGATATATATATGGACTTTGCTACATGTACATTGCGAGGTACATAGGGGTGTCCATTATGAACACTGTAATGTACAACAAGAATTATCATATATAGTTATACTAAAATTGAAAATTGGATGGTTTGGTTGGCAACGTATTCGTCTAAATGTAATCATGTCATGCAATACAACATGATCAAATTATACACAACTATTGATTGATAGATGGATTGATGTACTTCATTTACTAATTTATGGAGGAGGAATCATTATATTAAGATATGCTTATTTAAAAAGATGGATGATTGTCAACGTCACCAGAATGCTAAAAGGGGCAACTGATTCGTGTCAATTCGACTAAATACATATTTTAAACTCAAGCTCAATACGGTTTCATGTTTTTATATTTTATTACTTATAGCCTGTTTGAGTCACATTATAATGACAATGAGAATGAGAAATAGAGCCATTATGGACCCCACACCAGAGATAGAAATTCAAAAATGGTGACTTGATGTGATGGATAACGATCATATTTTTCATTTTTAATGAGGTAAAAATGTGGCACAGGAGCTTAGTTAAAAACATGTTATACTTATCTGCAGCAGAGAGCAACAAATTTCCATCACAAATCTTGCCTTTGCTAGCTTTCCCTTTGAAGGCATGTCTAGGGCGCCTAGCCCAACTTGGACATGCCACGTGTCCTCAATTGTGGATCTAGGATCTTGATGTTGAAGGGTAAAAAGTTTAGAAGACAAAATTTGCATACGTATTAAAATAATTTTAAGTTTTCTACTAATTATAAAAAAATATTAAATGTTGCTGGATGGATCGCCACCCCTGCCCCCTAGCTTTGCCCTTGCATGTCCCGTAGTCAGGCATGGCACAACCTGACTATCGGAAACAAGCTGACCAATCACCCATGTTAGGTCATGTTGAAATGGATATTTAGTCCAAATGTAAACAATTCGGTATATTTTGACACCCAATAATACTAATAATAGAATTAGAATTAAATATTAATTTGTATAAACAAAGATGATATCAAACATTATTTCTAAACGTCTCATATTAGCCCATTTTAAATCTTACACCTCGACAGTTCAATCATTAGAACGAGTAGATTTCATATTAAACCCCTGTTTGAGCCACATTATAATGAGAATGAGAATGAGAAATAGAGCCGTTATGAGCTCCACACCAGAGATAGAAATTCAAAAATGGTGATTTGATGTGATGGATAACGGTCATATTTTTCATTTTAATGAAGTAAAAATGGGGCTCAAACAGGGGCTAACTATCAAGTGTCGTGCCTACTCATTTTACAGCTCCAATATTCAATCATTAGATCAGGTAATTTCATACTAACTCTTCGGCCTATGTGCATGACTAACTTAAATTTAAGCCTTCTTTTGCATGTATTCATTGATCAGTTATCACTTGACAAATTTAATATCAGAAAGCCAAATCTCTCATTAACAATGGTTTAAAGCACCATTCACAGCAGCAGCTAAGTGGAAAAAAGGCCGTTAATTTGTGTTGTTGAAACTGGACATCATGAAAGTGTTGGGTTGTATTGTATGTCAGTGAAGTAAGCCGTCTAACCATATTTTCCCGTTTGGGCTTCATTTTTCCAAATTCATTTTTAACTACACATTTTTCCATAAAATAATGTTACACATAAATCCAAAACTTTTTCTTATTTTTAACCACAATTCTCCAAAAAATCACTATTTACATTTTCCTACAAAATTTCATTTTAATGGAGTCCAAACAGGGGTATGTTATGCTTAGTCTGTTGAGCTACCACAGTGAAGGGAAGGAAAACTAAACCGATGCATCTATAAGGCAAAATGTCGTGTTGCTTGTGCATTTATACCTGAACTGCAGTCTACAAAAAGTAAAGCTTACCTTAGGGAGGGCTTAAACGTGACCTCCCATTCGCATAACAACACAAACCCAATAGGGCAAAAAAAAGGAAAAAACTAAAAAATCATCAAGGCAGGACCTAACACAAGTGGAGATAATCACATAGAAAAGTATACCGAAACTAACGTGGGCCCTTGACGAAAAATCATTCAGTGGAAGCTCCCAACACTCTTTTTTTTCCCTTTTTATGTTTTTCCGACTTCTTGGCCTAAGGGCTAAGGCCATAGCCCATAGCACCAAATTGAGTACTAGATTCAACAATCATCATAAGAACGCAGATAAGAAACAGAGCGGTACTTTGCATCAGATAAACAACAGAAGGAACCAGCATTGAAGTTGCAGAAGCATGCTTTTACATAGCTGTAATTTGGCTATCTCCGTCGCTTCAAGTTAAGACATTATTTCAACAGTTCAGGCATTTCAAGAAAGACATTAAAGCCAAGTGACCTTAATTTGCAAAAGAGACACCTGTTGAAAACATAAAAGGATTTCAGATATTTGATGAGAGAAACATTCTCGAGTGATTATAGGAACATAAGAAGCATACAGAATGGTAAAGCTAGAAAATTTACTTTTCAAGCCAAGAGGCTGGTAACCTGAATTACTGGCTCAGCTTCTGAGATGAGAAGATATATTTATGCGGGACATGAGAAACTTTCCACCAATCTTCACCTCTATCTCCCTGGCAACAACTTTGGAGATCGGGGCAGTCTTGAATAGACAGTTGCTGGAGTTTTGTCAGGTGTCGAAAAGCAACAGGCAAAGATTTTATATTAGGGCATTCTGATATTGCTAGAGTTCTCAAGGGCAAACATTCTATCAGAGGGCGGTATATGATGGCCAAACTTAAAAGGGAGGTAAGGTGCTCTAAACTATCTGGCAAACCAGCTAGATTTGGACGGTACATAATGTTTAAGTGTTTGAGAGCTATAAGATATTGAAGTCCAACTGATACGGAACTCAGTCTACTGCAGTTCTCAATTGACAAGATCTGAAGAGATATCAAACCTCCAATTGGATTCTCTGGAAGAGTTTCAATACTGTGTATTACAATTTATTGAATGAAAAACTTCGATTGAGCTCCATAAAAAGAGAAAGAAGAATTAAAATTGGACACTCCATTAGGAGGAACATAACACTCCACGAAGGAGGACAAACATCTCCATAAGGAGGAAGAAATCTCCATGAAAGGAGAACATGAAACCTCAAGGGATTGGAATATCACATTACAATAGACAAAAAATGTAGACACGGTGCCTTATTTATAGAGAAAAATAGCTAGGGTAATTAACTAACTAATCATCTAACTAAACAACTAAACATGCTGAAGACAACCGTTCTGTTGAGATAGAATCTGGAGGAATCTGCTGGAAGCTTCTGGATGCTGCTGGAAGAGTGAGCAGGAGAAATCTGGTTGCACGTGTAATCTTAACACTGCGGCAGTCACTGATTTCGAAACACTCCAAAGCATTGAGGTTTTCAAATCCTTCTGGCAGCAAGGAGAGTTGTTCACACCATTGAATGTTCAGGGATTTAAGGGAAGTCAGGCATCTGAAACCTGAACCAAGGAGCTGAAGTGTCTGGCAAGATTTGATCTTCAAGCTCGTGAGGAGACAATTATTTCTGAGGAAATTTTCTGGTAGAGATGACAAATCATCAAAACTCTCAATCATTAGGGTTGAAAACAAGGTAGTGCAACAGAAAAATTGTAGCAAAGAATTTTATTTCAATTGAAGAAAAGCAAAGGAATTTTGTTTTCGATTGATGGAGTTAATATGGAACCCGGAATCTCTCCAAAGAACCAATTAACAATGGAAACGGAGTTTGGAATCTCTCCAATGCACCCTTTCTTGGAATCTTTCCAAGGAACCACAAGGTTCTATCAACCAAAACAACTTGAATTACAGACTCCTCTACCAGACTATTTATTCTTGAATATCTAAGAAATGGCTAACTAATAAATGCATAAATCTAGGAAAGATAATAATAAAATAAAACAACTAGATAATAAAAAGGCAAAACAAATTCAAATCTAATTATCCCTAGAATGTTGGCCACTAAAGTCCCAGCAAGTCAAGCCACCAAAGTCCCAGCAGGTCAGGTCTTGTCTCCTCTTCCAGCACGGCTCTTCTTCCAGCGCTCATACCTGGAATATTTGCATCACAAGGTTAATTCTTCTATTCTATTTAATATGATTGAACGACTACTCTGCATCTCTAAGTGCTTTACGGAGAGACAATGGGAGTGATTTTAAATCAAGTTTTGGACAATTTCTGATGACTAATTTGCTCAGTTGTGGAAATATTTCTGTGTCATTCGGGCAATCCCACCCTTGCAACCTTGGAAAGTCTCTTATAAATAGTTCTTGCAGTGATGGAAATGATGTAACACCCTCACCATAGAACTCAGGGCGAATACACACAATCTTGTCCATTCCTACCACGCGCAGTGTTCTAAGATATGGAAGATTACCATGAATTGGTAGCTGCTCGCATCCTCGGCAATTGATCAACACCATCTCAGTAAGGTTCGGAAGAGTCCAGCATGGAAACTCGATTCCAGGATAACCAACTATGAATATTTTCTTCAAATTTTTATGTGGTTGGAGGCACACCAAAACTTTCCCGGGCAAGTCCGTATCAGTATAAGAAGCACGTGTTTCAGGCTCCTCTGACGGCCCTGGTGCTTGGTTATTTCTTTCTTGGGGTCTGGCTATGTTGGCTTCTAAAGCAGGATTCATGATGCGATCTACTGCTTCATTGCCCCAACAAAGTCCTAATGACTCCAGATACTCGTTATTCATCAAAGGCTTCGATTCCACTTCTTCAACACGATGAACTCGCTCCAAGTGCTTGATTTTTAGTTCCCCTCGAAGTTTCAAAGGTTCCAGATCTGATATGGGTGCTGGACACGAACAAGAATAAGACTCTGCAGCAAAAAATTCAAGCACGCCAGTCACTGAAAATGAGTCAACTGACCCATCTCCCAGATATGATGGGTGTGGTTGATACAAGCAAGCATTACATCTATGCCCAACAACATATATTGGCAGCGTCTGAAGTTTAGATAACGATCCGATGCCTACGGGCATCTCCTGCAGAGCTTCACATCCGCTGACGATGAGATGCTTCAAGCCGGTAATTCCAGTCAAATTAGGCAACGATCTAAGATTGTAGCAACCGAATAAATTCAATGTCAGTAAAGAGCAGAGGGAAGATATTTCTGAAGGTAAATCATAGAAATGATTGTTGGACAGATCAAGGTGTTTCAACAATGGCAGGTAATTCATTGAAGGCAGCTGCACTAGGCATCCACTTAGATCCAGCATCCTCAAGTAAGGAAAATGTTTAATGATGTGGGAACAATCTTCCAGAGCTCCACCTTCTGAGAACACAAGAAGAGTACGCAAATGTTTTACCCGAAGAAGGTCATTTAGAATGGGGGACGATATATGCTTAGATACAATTGATGCATGACGAACTTGATCAAGACTGTTTCCTGCACGTCTGTTTTCTGATACTAAACATTCATTTTCTGTAAGAGATTGGGCAAGACTGTGAAAATGTTCATTTATCTTGTACCTTCTTATGACTCCACCTTCATATTCCATGACATCTTCGAACACGGACATCCAGACCAACTCATTGAAATACTCATCCCCAATTTCTTCTAGTGCCTTGCTTCCACCATCCGGAAGAATTAGGCCTAGTGCAATCCACATAGGGATTAATTTCTCCCTCTTGATTTCGTAATTCTTCGGAAATATTGAGCAGAATGCAAAGCAATGTTTGAGATGCGGCGGCAAATGCATGTAACTTACCAGTAGGACAGGAAAAATTTCATCTTTGTAATCCCTCAAATTCCAAAGATTACTATTCTGCACATATAACCACTCCTCCTCCTTTCTCTTGAGGCGCATGCGACCACCAAGAATTTTTGCAGCCAAAGGCACACCTCCACATTTCCGCATTAGTTCTTTCCCAATTGCTTGAAGTTTTAGATACTCCTCTTCTTCTGTTCGAGTAAAAAAAGCACGCTCTGTGAATATTTTCCAGCAATCATCATTAGACAAACCCTTCAAGCGATATGCTGTATCTCGATTGCCTATAACCAATGCAGCTTTTTGACTGCGGGTCGTGACAAGTATTTTGCTTCCATCAACTCCACACTTGAACAGTGGCATCAGTTGTTCCCAATCACCGTGAGCTTCATTCCAAACATCATCGAGCACGAGAAGATATTTCTTTTCTTTTAGTGATTTCAACATTTGAGAGTGCAGACCGTCCAAGTCCATTAAATCACATTTCTTTCCAGTTGATTTCTCAATTACTTCTTTAATTATTCTTTTGGCATTAAAATCTTGCGATACAAAAACCCAAATTCTTAAATCACCGAAATGTTTCTTTACCTCATCGTCATTATAGATGAACTGAGCAAGAGTGGTTTTTCCAATGCCTGGAGGACCAACTATTGATATCACAGATGTAGTTCCTCCACCGACTAATAACATATCTACTATCTTCCTTTTGTCCTCCTCCCTTCCATAAACCTCAGGTCCAATAACAAAAGAGCTAGTTTCCTTCTTTTCAAATTGCTTATTCGCAATATTTCTTTCTTTTAAGTGTAAGCTGAGCCCTTCCTCTGCTGCCTTTTCTAAATCTTGAAGAATGACAATTAGGTTTTTGGTGAGTCCCTCATGCATACAGTTAAATCTGAATTCTTCAAGCAAGTCCTCTACTTTGGAGGCTGCATCTTTGAGCTGAGAAAGCCAAGTTCTAACAGCTTTATCGGTAATTTGCCGCTCTTCTGCATCCTCGATGACACCTTGGACCCTTGGCAGTATTCTTTGCAGCTTGTTCAGCCGGTCTTTGGCATGCCAAATATCATCAATCCTTCGAAAAACAGGCTCCGATAGCTTGTCAATTATAACTTGTAAAAATGGAGGCACAACGATGCTTGCCATCTTCAAGCTTGGTGCTTGATCAATTTTGAGACGAAAAAGATATTGTGAACAACAGATTATTTTTCTCAGTTTCAGCAAGTCAATAATTTGCAGGTTGCAACTTTTTCCAGAGAAGATAGCAAAAACAGGCCAAAAAGTGGAGCAAGTGGCCCCCAAACAGCCAAATCCAAAAGTCGAGTCTGGAAATTTCCTTCTAGTACGGATCTGTTTGTACCAAAATTTTTCTTCATTTTATGACTTTTCCGACCGTTGAAGCCGACACCGTGGGCCCCTGTACGTCAATTTCGCTCAGATTTCGGCCCATCATCTTTGAAAATGGGTGCATATGAGGAAATAAACGTGAGCATGTGATGGCCACCTAACAGTCAAACGCTTCCAGTCAAAGGCTGCCACTGCTATCTGCCAATATGTCAATATTCCACATTAAGACCCTGTCACGACATGTCAGAACATAAATCATGCTACAGTATTGAATTTGTGACCCAAATTAGGGTAAATCTTTTGAAAATAAATTTTTTTTTTATTTAACCGTGAAAAAAATATTACTTTCTTATTTTAACGTGATTTTATTGAAAACATATTATTTTTTTATTTTTCTTTATTTCCATCTTTAGACAAAGTATGTCTAAAGATGTATAAATATAGGTCTCATCTTTCAATTTAAGAGAAGTCAATATTGCTGTGGTGTTGTATTCTCTCTATATTGTCAATTAATAATATATTTTGCCTCTGCGTTAATTCATCTTTTCTTTTTTACTTTATACATTGATATATATTTTTATATTATTGCAATCCTTAATACTTCATATTGCGTCATTAACTTCATTCTCTACAATCCGTCGATCTCAACAAGTGGTATCAGAGTTTGGGTCTTTTGTGGATTGGTTGAAGTTTTTCAGAGATGGTTGCCATGAAGTTTGCTATTCCGCTTTTGGATCGCAATACAAAGTTTTCGTTGTAACAAGTAAAGATGAGGGCTATTTTATCTTAATTGGATTTGGAAGATGTTTTGCTGGATTTTGAGAAGATGCCAGCTAATTGGACAAACAGAGGAGAAATAACAGGAGGATCGGAAGGCATTGTTGCTAATTCATTTTCATCTATCAAACAATATTCTGCAGGATGTCTTGAAGGAGAAAACGACTACTACTTTATGGTTGAAATTGGAGCAGTTGTGCATGATCAAGAGTCTTACTAGCAAACTGGTTCTAAAGCAAAAATTATATTCCCATGGCATGGCAGAAGAAGGGTCGTTGAAAGACCATATTGCTGTGTTCAAGGAGATTGTCACAGATTTGAAGACGTTGGAGGTTAAGTATGATGAAGAGGATCTTGCCTTGATCCTGTTATGTTCGTTGTCTGGCTCTTATGCGTCGTTCTGGGACATCATTTTGTACAGTCAGGCTACAGTAACTATAGACGATGTCTATGATGCTTTGCATTCGAAGGAAAAATTAAAGCATCTCGTTGGAGCTACATCGAGGGATGAGGAAGCTCTTGTATCTCATGGTGGTCGACGGAGAAACAGATTTAGGGAGAACAGCAATGTGTACTGCTTCTACTACAGACGGAAAGGACACTTGAAGAAGGATTGTGAGAAGTTGCAAGCTAAAGATGGTTTAGCTGCAAATCATATGGGGCAATCATGGAATTCGGACAAGACTAATATGACTGAGGATTTTTCGGATGATGGAGATGTGATGTTGACTGTAGTTTCTGACGTGGAATCTAAGCCTGGTGATGAGTGGAATCTTGATTCGACATGTTCGCAACATATGTGTTCCGATAGGAATTTGTTTTAGACATATGAGGCCGTTCAGCAAGGTGGAGTTGTAATGGCAAACAACAAGTCTTAACATATTGGTGGAATCGATCGAGTCAAATTGCGGTTGCAGGATGGGACGGTCAGAACACTTGGTCAGGTTCGACATGTTCCTGATCTAAAGATGAATCTCATCTTGCTGAGTACACTGGATGCAAAAGGGTATAAATTCTTTTGTGGAGGTGGAGTCTTGAAGGTTCGAAGAGGTGTCCAGGTTGTACTGGAGGGACGGAAGAAATCCCAGTTATACATATTACAGGGAAGCACGAAACCAATTTTGAGACATCAGGACAAGTTCAGTACCGTGGTGGATATACAGTTTGGTATAGTATATCTTGTATTGGGCTCTGGGTCGGTTCAAAACACTACTAGGGAGAGCGTTGGTGATTCCATTTTGCACCAATTTCAGCGGATGCACTGTGTTCAAATGTCAGGGGTGGACTCATATAGTGTATGTACAATGATGTTATTGATGTCTGTGATGCTTTCGGGATCGTTGAAGGTGACAGTTCTGACAATGAGCCTTCTGATCAAGCATTGGTTTGGTTTCTGCTGCAGAGTGTGCTTCGACCCTATTTGGTAAACGGTAATTCCTCGGTAGAATTTTTGGAAACTCGGGATTTGGGTTCAGGTTTCGTTTGTGGATGCCTTGCAGATGAAGATGGTTTTGGTGATGGAGAGTTTTGGTTACTGTGTTGAGGAGTTTAGCTATTTCGTTGTAAAGGGATTTGAAATCTTGGAGTTTCGTTCGTTGCACCAGAATTTGGGTCAAGATGGAGATTGTTGGGTTTATGACCCAAATTAGGGTAAAACTTTTGGAAATAAATTGTTTCCTTATTTGCACGTGGAAAAAATGTTATTTCCTTATTTTGACGTGATTTTATTAGAAACATATTATTTCCTTATTTCTCTTTATTTCCATCTTTAGACATAATATGTACCTATAAATATATGTCTCCTCTTTTGGTTTAGGAGAAGCCAATATTGCTGAGGCGTTGTATTCTTTCCATATTGTCAATTAATAACACATCTTGCCTCTGCGTTAATTCATCTTTTCTTCTTTACTTTATACCTTGATATATATTTTTATATCGTTGCAATCATTAATACTTCATATTGCGTTATTAATTCATTCTCTACAATCCGTCGATCTCAACAACAGGCGCATGCCTCGACCCTTGATCTTTAATACATGGGGCTCACGCCCCTTTACATCAGCCCTTGGATTGGAGCCCGAGATTTAATCTTGGGCTCTGCAGCTTTATTCGCCAGAACATTGTTCATGTTTAGTTCATTGCGTACAAGATTCGAATTCCAACGCAAAATAAAAAATAAAAACTATTCAACAACAAACGAGTAAATTTAATGAATGATCACTGAACTTTATATTACATTATCACTTGCTCACTAAACATTAAAACATTACTGGTTGCTCACTCATCTATCAAATTGTTTGCCGGTTGATCACTCATCAGATTTCCATTACCTTAAACTAATAGAATCTACAACGTGGCACGTCACACATCAAATGGGCCAAAAGTATAGAAAGCCATTCATCTTCCTCATCTTCTCCTTCAAGTTCTTGGACCCTGAATGCAGCCTAGTCAGTGCAGCAGATTGGGGGCGAACTTGAGTTTCGATTTAGGACCTTCGTTCATGGGTACACTGTGGCAAGAAAATGGAAGTTGGAATTGGGGGCGATTTCAGGGTTCTTCTCGGATTTGAGGGAGTATTTAGGGTTTCGATAAATTAGGAATCCAAAAAAATTTCATGGAAGCTACAACGGTCTAATCTCTCGCATAGTGTGCTCATAGCCCAGCCTAAAGGTGAAGAGATCGGTGGTAGAGAAGGCGAATTTGGGTTGTTGTAGTTCCCACGATTCGACGGCGGTGGAGGAGGGTAACAATGGTGTCAAGAGTAGGTTTGGCGTTAGGTGGAAGTGGATCTTCCGGCTCATGGAGGTGGAAATTTCGACTCACGTTCCACTCGTCGTCACTAGTTCTGTGGTTTTTGGTGGAGAATGTAAGGGAGGCAGAGATAGGATTTCACCTGGGTTTTTTGTTGGACGGTGAGGAGTCTGTAAACCCATGCCAGCCGATAACTGACTCCAGGTCTGATTTTCAGGTGAGTTTTTCGATATCACATCTAATTTATGTGCCACGTGGGATTTCCATCTTCCACGTGGCAAATTCCGTTAGTCTAGGATGAGGGAGATCAGTTGGGTGATGAATGGATAAGCAATTGGATAGTTGAGTGAGCAATGAATAATATTATAATGTTTGGTGAGCAAGTAGTAATATACCCCCAAGTTCAATGAGCAGTGATTAAATTTACTCACAACAAACACCTTGTCGTGAATTCAGTATACTTTCGGTGTAAATTAAACAAAAAATAAAACGAAAAAAAAAAAGTTTCATTTTATAACAGCATGACCCGAGAATTCTTTTATTTGGAGAAAACATAGACGGTACAACAGGCACCGCCTGAAGTCCCAAGTGATGGTGCAAACGTAAATATCCACTAATTTGACGTTAGACCTATGTACCGAAACAAAACACACCAACATACACCTCACGTAGTTGACAAAGACAATGGCTCGAACTTTTGAAATTCCAATCATACTTTTGAAATTCAAAAGAGATTTCCTAATTTTTATTATTACCCTATCTGGTAGAGATTAAAATCAAATTTTAGAAAAATTTGATAAAATTTAATGAAATTTGTGATTAAAAAGTTATGAATTCCATTAAATATATAGTTAAAATTAATAATTAACTTTGATTTTGATAAAAACATATATTATAATTTCTATGATACAGGGATTTATTTTTCAATAAATTTGTGAAGTCCAAGGAAACATTTTATGATTTTTTTTTTTTTTACTGAAATTCTTGAAAACTTTGATCAGAAATTGCACTTCATTGTAGGAGTTTTTCAAGTGCTCGTTTGGATTTTGCTTTATAAGCATGCTTGTTAGACTCAACTCAAATATCGACCCAGTTGTGGTACCAGATTATGTAATTCCTGATTGAATTGACGAGTCAACGATCAGGTCAATAGGTTATTATTTGAAACTTATTTAATTTTTTAAAATTATAAAAATCTTTTTTGAGACAAAATTAAAATTTTAAGTTATTTATCACTAATTAGTTGTTATCTTTAAATAATAAATTTTTGAACTTATTTATTAGTGATAATAATTACATTTTGATTTTATAAATTTGTATATTATATTTAAAAAAATTATATTATTCCCATTTTTGTCATGCAGAAATCATTTATTAGTTACTGATAAATTATAAAAAAAAATTATGTGGTATTGATGTGTGTTTGAGTCCCTATT